TGGATCAGGAGCAGGACCTGGAACCACAGGAGGCACACCAGCTCCAGCATCAGAAGGTATCTACACAGTAAACATATTCACATCACATATTACCACAACACTCAGAGGGTATCCCGTACATTAGTTTTAATATACAATATGTCTAAATGGGATGGAAAAGACAGTGATGTAGGGGAGCTTCCAAATTAGAGGATAAAGAAAGAGAAAACTGGCTTATCTAAAAATGATTCTGCCATTGTCTTTGTTTGATTTATTCAGTTCACACGCTTTTCCAAAGCTACTATTGATATTTTAACCTTATTCTAGGTGATGGTGGGGCTGGCAGTGTGATAGAGGGGTCTGGAAGTTCTGGAGGAGAAGGTGTGTTTAAACTTGCAGGAGTCTTGAGAACCTGTAATTTATTACCTTAAAATGATGCACAGATTGTGGGCCTACATGACAACAATTATCACAAACACTAAAACGCAGGGCCAAAGATGAAATAATATGATGGGTATACTGTACACAAGATGGCCCACAGGCTACATAGCAAACACCTGTGAAAACTAAGGAACAAAACAGGATGCTACAATAAATGTGTGTGTGTGTGTGTGTGTGTGTATTTAAACAGGAGGTACTGGTGTAGCTGGCAGACCAGTGGGTGCAGGATATGATGGAGATAGCTTGGGTGGAACAGGAATCCCCATCATTGGAGCAAAGCCAGGTACTTAGGCCATTTATTAAACAAATTCAAAATAAATATATGTGTAAGTTAAGGTGTTGATTTGATCTGCTACTAATTCATTCAGGCGTGTTTCAGAAGCAGTATTAACGAAAATGTGTTATTTTTTTAATCATCTTTATAAAACAGGACTCAATGGGACAGATGTTCCAGGTCAGTGTTTATTTCACAGACAGAGTTTCTGCACATTTGTCTGCAAACACTGCATGTTCATCTATTTCTGTCTTCTGAGTGCAACTGTTAGTCAGCCGGACATCCAAAAAACCATAATGCAGATTTTATATCAATTTTAATTAAATCTGGTGGAAGGCAAAGGATCGTGTTTCTTAGTTTTTCTTGTGGACAGTGCCATCATGTGGCCATTTATAAAGTGCTTTAAGTTTTCACTCATTACTTCTGAACTTTGAGGTATAGAAAAAAACTACCAGGATCCAGGAATATTTCAAAATTAAACATTCCTGCCGACACAGATTATCCATTTTGAATAATTGCTAGATACATTTTTACATTGATGCTGTTTAACATTTCTAAAATGCGTACATAATTTAAATAATGGAAAACTTAGAAGGGGTCGAGAAGACACGTACATACAGTGCAGAGCATTTCTTCGCCTTATACCTTCCAACTGTGATTCCTACTTGTGTTTCTGAGATTTTTAATTGCCTCCACAGTTTCTACTTCCTCTCAGCAGAGATCTTGTAGCTGAAATCAAGGAATAATACATTTCACTGTATCATTTTGCAGGTGCTGGTGGTGATCTCTCAAGTGGAACATTACCTGGAGCCAAACCTCTCAAACCCCCAGGTGAATGAAATAAAATCCAATTCACCCTTAAAAAAAATGTACCACTCAAGTTTCAGGATAACTACTCATAGTGCTTACCTATTACCGAACAGTAAATTATCAATGGTAGATGACAAAGCAATATACTGTATAATCTATCAAAATCTGTTGAACATTCACCAGGCTTGTTGTTGTTTGGACTTTGTGGAAGCTAATGGTGATTAAAATAAAGAAAACTCACCGGTGTTCTGTCTGCAGGCGTCCCCCGAGGGGACACGCCAGGTGAAGGAGATGGAGAGGGAGGTCCTGATGGAGAGAGAGGTGGTACAGGAGGCACAGGGGGAGGACCGGGAGGAGCAGGAGGGAGTCCTACCAGTGCAGGAGCAGCAGGTGGTGTTTCAGGGGGCGTAACAGGAGTGGGAAGAGGAGACAGTCCTGCTACTGGCACTGGAGTTGGACCAGAAGGTGCAGCTGGTGGAGTTGGAGGAACACCCAAACCGCCCACAGGTACCATTTCTGCCATCTGAATGTACACTCCACTACATCTACCACCATCCAATATCCACCACTCTATATTAAACTTCCAATCTAGCCACTAAAAAATGACTAACACACAGTTTTGTAACACAAAAATGCACATACTCAAGAAAAAGATATATTATATTTGTCTATCTTTTTAATGTTGCATACGGACCTGATGGGACTGTAGCAGGAGGCATAGGTGTTGGACCTGGTGGAGTAGGTGGGGTGGCAGGAGGTGGTCCTGGAGGAGCCGGCTTGGTACCTGGGGCTGGTGGAGTAGGAATAGGAGCCCTCAAACCTGGAAAAAGTGAGCTGCTACCATGTTCTTTGAATGTTTGTGTATTCATCCCAAACCTTAATGCCTTTATAACAATGATGTTTATACATTATCCATCATAGGCTATGGTGCTGGTGGAGTTTTACCAGGTGGAGGTAACACTATCCTTACCATCTAAGTTACAGCAAACAGATGCCCCAAACATATCTGAACTGCAGTATCTCTATCTTTATCTCCTTCAGGCATACGTTACCCGACTGGAGCTGGAGTAGGACAAGGAGCAGGAAAATCAGGCAAAGGTGAACAAAAACAACCCTGTAAACTATGTTATCCTCTCTTAAATAAGGAAGAGAGCAATGAAAGAAGCTACATAATACATTAAATGTTTTTATCTTCCTATCAGTATATGGGACTCTTGGAGCAGGAGGCCGGGGTCGGGTTGGGCCTGGCGGTTATGGAGCTGGTCCTGGTGGCTATGGTACAAGACCCGGGGGTTACGGGGCAGGACCCGGAGGTTACGGGGCAGGACCCGGAGGCTATGGTGCAGGACCCGGAGGTTATGGTGCAGGACCCGGAGGCTATGGTGCAGGACCCGGAGGTTATGGTGCAGGACCCGGAGGTTATGGTGCAGGACCCGGAGGTTACGGGGCTGGCCCAGGTGGCTATGGTGCTGGGCCTGGGGGATATGGAGTTGGACCTGGAGGCTATGGAGGCAAGACAGGAAGCAGAGGCACTGGTGGTGGCCCTGGGGGAGCTGGAACCCTTGGAGTTGGAGGGGCTGGAGCTGTTGCTGGAGGTTTAGGAGGAGGAGTAGGAGCAGGCCCCGGTGGAGTCGGCAGTGGATTGGGGGGATATGGTGGTGGTGTGGCTCCTGGTGGTAAGTTGGCATTTATGAGAATGTTATACAGTGTGACTCAATTTTAATAATTAAGTTGAATTCTATCAAAATAACACATCTCATCTTAATAGCATGCAATTGAAACATTGGTCAAATTATCTTATCTGCTCTGTTATCCAGGTTCAAGATATGGCACAGGTCCAGGTCTGGGCACCGGCACTGGCAAAGCACCAAAACGTATGATAAGAATTGACACATACACAGAGTGCAGATGCAAACATTTAAACAGAGAACTGAAACTGAACCACTATTTGTTTTTAGGTTATGGGGCAGGAGCTGGTGGTACTGGCGTTGGGCCTGGTGGGTATGGGTCTGGACCAGGTGGAGTTGGACCTGGCGGGGCTGGTGGTTATGGACCTGGTAGCACTGGACCAGGTGGATACGGGCCTAGCACTGCCGGGACAGGACTGGGGGGTGCAGGGACCAGGCCAGGTGGTTATGGACCTGGTGGCACTGGACCAGGTGGATACGGGCCTAGCACTGCCGGGACAGGACTGGGTGGTGCAGGGACCAGGCCAGGTGGTTATGGACCAGGTGGAGCAGGGGTCATTCCTGGTGTTTATACTGCTGGAGGTCAAGGACTGGGGACAAGAAAGCCACCCAAATCAGGTACAATGGTCATTTATTATAACACTGACAACATTTAATCATGTATAATGTTTTAAAACATGTTCAGACTGTGAACTCCTTCTGACAGGCTATGGATCCTCATCACTGGGTGGAGCAGGCTATGGGCAAGGTGAGAAACTTATTTATCTGTAAAATGTAGAGATGGTTTAGTGTTTTCCTCTGTACATGAAAACATACCATATCTACCTTATCATTGCAAATAAAAGCAAGTCTTTCACACTGCTCATTTGTAGAAGTTCTGTTTGAAATGCAGCAAAGAAAAAGTATTGGTACATACATAGATACTTTTGTGGTGCCGTGTTGTGGTGAACTGTGTATGTTATCATTCAGCTGAATTAGCTGTATGAAGCAGTACTTCTTCTACTTGCTTTAAAGTAAAGCAATGCTTTGGCTGGCAAGTTAAAAAGCTTCTACTCCTAAGCAGGTGCAGCAACTAAACTAAAACTGAAAATGACTGCAAAAGTCAAGAACTTATGCCGGTTTTCTAGGTGCAGGAATTGGACCTGGTGGAACAGGTACTGGACCTGGCCGATATGGGCCTGGGGGCGTTGGACCAGGTGGTGCTGGCACAGGAACAGGTGGTTTCGGACCAGGCGGTGCTGGCACAGGAATGGGTGGTTTCGGACCAGGCGGTGCTGGCACAGGAGGCTTTGGACCAGGCGGTGCTGGCACAGGAACAGGAGGCTTCGGACCAGGCGGTGCTGGCACAGGAGGCTTCGGACCAGGGGGTGCTGGCACAGGAACGGGTGATTTCGGACCAGGCGGTGCTGGCACAGGAGGCTTCGGACCAGGCGGTGCTAGCACAGGAACAGGTGGGTTCGGACCAGGCGGTCCTGGCACAGGAGGCTTCGGACCAGGCGGTGCTGGCACAGGAACAGGTGGTTTTAGACCAGGCGGTGCTGGCACAGGAGGCTTCGGACCAGGTGGTGCTGGCACTGGAGGCTTCGGACCAGGCGGTGCTGGGACAGGAACGGGTGGTTTCGGACCAGGTGGTGCTGGCACTGGAGGCTTCGGACCAGGCGGTGCTGGGACAGGAACGGGGGGTTTCGGACCAGGCGGTGCTGGCACTGGAGGCTTCGGACCAGGCGGTGCTGGGACAGGAACGGGTGGTGTCGGACCAGGTGGTGCTGGCACTGGAGGCTTTGGACCAGGCGGTGCTGGCACAGGAGGTGGTTTTGGACAAGGGGGCCAAGGATTAGGAAAACGAAAACCTTCCAAATCTGGTAAGTAATGATCATACCATTAAAACGATGAGGCAGGCAATATTAAGACATTCATTGTACTGATGGAGACACCTATTTGATTGTTTTAAATGAAAAGTAATTAGCAGAACATTGTTTGACCATTCTCATTCATTTTTTCCAGGTTATGGAGGAGCTGGGTATGGACCAGGTGAGGTTCGGGCTCGAATCAGGGATGGTAATTATCTTTGTATACATTTATGTACTATATCGTTGTACTTATATATTTAAACACTTTCCCAGCAGGAGGATTAGGAGGAGGTACAGGAAGTGTTCCTGGGGGAGTTGGAGCTGGACCTGGTGGCTATGGCCCAGGAGGGTATGGTCCAACTGGAACTGGAACAGCCCCTTTTGGTTATGGGCCTGGAGGTGCTGGAACTGGTGGCTTTGGCCCAGGAGGTGCTGGAACTGGGCCAGGGGGTTTTAGACCCGGTGGCGTCGGTGGATATGGACCTGGTGGCCAAGCACTAGGAAAAAGGAAGCCTCCTATATCAGGTTACGGCTCGTCGTTGGGTGGAACTGGCTATGGACCAGGTAAAATTCTCTTTTGAGAATAAATAAACATTTCATGAAAAAGCTCTGATAATTGTTTTAGAACAAAGAAATAAAACCATTGTTTCCATATGTCTTTCTTGCATGATAACACTGGACTGTAAACCTCTTCTGTCTCCATCTTTTTCCATGTTTATTCACATGTTGCTTTGTTTTCATATTTACTGTGCTAAGATAATAAACTTACTTAACCATTATGCTACCTGCTATTCATGTATAGTCTTTATCACTAACTGTCCAGGTAGTGCAACAGGAGGAACAGGAGGAGCAGGAGGTCCTGCTGGAACAGGTCAGGGATTAGGAGGAGGCGCGGGCGGCTTACCAGGTCAGGACTATGAACATTTGCATTTCACATTTTGAGATTTGAAACCACATGCATTCACAAAATACAGACCACTGCACAGTAAATCCTATGCCTGACTGCTGGTACAGAAGTGCGTAGTGATGCAGGTTGTAATGTGGTCATTGTTCCAGCAGGGGGTGTTGGCCCTGGCTACGGTGGAGTGGCTGGTGGAAACTATCCAGGTAACTTTGTCACACTTTAACTCTCTCTCTCTCTCTTTGACACACAGCACATTCTTTGTATGGATTTAAAATGAATAATATTGTTAAAGCTTGAAAGTACCAAAAAGTTACATGGACACAAAAGTAATAAACAGGAAATGCTTTCATCCTGTGTGTCCGGCCTTGCGTGGTGAATATTTGTTTTGGCATATTTTCATTAATGTCACTGCTGAGATAACAAATGGGACCATTGTAAAGATTATCAATTGTTCATGATGAATCTGTCTTTCCTGTTGTTGTTTTCTAGGATACACGGGGGCAGGACAAAAATGTAAGAAAACTCGCTGGGCCTGGGACAGGCATGCTCTAATTAACTTCAGTCTCTTAACACACATACGTCCAGCTCACATGAAGATCTACATGACATGACAATCACCCATTCATTCCTTGTTTCTTAAAGGAAATCTTTAAATATTAGTTTAGAGGTTGTTTTTGTATCCTAAGCACAAAAGAGAGAACATTTCTTCTGGACATCTGGATTTCTGTACTTTTATTACCATAATACATTTTTAATTTTTGAGGTGTAAATATTGTTGTGTATGCTTTTAAAATCTCTACAGCTGGGTATTTTTATAGAGAGCCTGTGTATGTCTGCAGAATAACTTTCCTTTTTGCTTTCATGTTCTTCAGCCATGGCACAGAAGGCAGCCAAATATGCAGCCATGCAGGCGTTTCTGGGAGCTGGGGGCTACAGAGGTAAAAAAAAAACAAAAAAAAACAATAACACATTGTATTGCTTTGCAGTAAGCCGGATCTATACACTGGAAAAGATTTTACTGGAATTTTGTGAGTCAACTAAAATGTTCTAGTCAGACCCATTCCAGGAGTTCTTCTAACTTTATGTGTTGTAACTTGAGATAAGTTACGATCCACTTCAGTAATGATCCCTATACACTAAGAATTCAACAAAGCCAGTAGAAGCTTCTCGTGCAATTTCCCACCTAATTCAGGTACAAACATGGTTTTCAGAGAAATGACTTGCTTAAGAATTGCCACAGCCTTACAGCCACAAATACAGGAACTATGTAGTTATTATTAAAAACTGAGCGCTCTAACCGAGAGAACGTCACTGGGACGCAATTCTGACTATAATGCTTGTTGTATATCCCAACTCACACATCTTTAAGACATCAAGGGAACTTGTGTTTTCATGTTTTACAGTGTAGTTTTTATCCATACAATAGGCTGTATTTATTGTATGTCAAGAAAATAAGGATTTTCTCTGCTCTGATACTTAGGTGCTGGCTGTCAGGGTAAATACTGTGGTCAAAGGAGGAAGTGAGAGGCCAACAGACAGGAAGTGACCTCATCAAAACAACAGTGGTGCTACTGCATGATCCCAGATTGTAAATGTCTTACCTGCCATAGAAGCTAGAGCTTCAACACATTCCACGTTACACTTTTCATTTGCTTTGATTTGATACAAGCGTCTCTTTCAAAAAGAGCACTGGTTCTCAACCTGGTAGTGTTGTGATTCCTTGAAACAAGGCAATTCCTTTGTTGCAGGCTGCTGCGTTGGCAATTTAAAACTTTGGTAAAATAATTTAAAATGTTTACCATTACACAGTAAAAACCACAAGTCTAAAAGGGGATGCAATTGTTTGTACTTGGAATAGCAATATCCCCCTCTTGAAATACCTTGTGACTCTCTGGGGATCCCGACTACCAGGCTGAGCACCACTGAAATAAAAAGGACCAAGATTTCTTCTTAAATTGTGAGGCCAAGCTGTACTATAATACAGTTTTTGTTTATTGTTGTTGAACACAATTTGTGTTCCTTTGCAAATGTCACCATAGATCCAATGGGTGAAGACTGACACCAAGGACTCCCTCAGGGCAGCTCCTTCAGACCTGTCTGCATGCTGACACAATGTCAAAAAAAAAAAACATTCTCCGAGGGCATACTTTTACCCAGTTAGACTTGGTTTTCCTTTGATCTGCAGAGTGTCATTTTTGTTTCATTAATTCACTGTTTTGAGCTTTTACTTCAAAGTGCAAACACTTGGATAATCTGTACGGACAAAGAAACAGACGGCTGCTGTTTTGGGGGAACTGTGAAGGTGGTGTTTTGACTGGTCATTATCTGACCCTGAAGCAGTCTGTGTTGTGCTCAGGCCTCAGCAACTTCGGCAAATGTGGAGGCTGAAGGTCCTCAGCTGTTTACACTTATGAGATTCTGCATCGTTTTATAGCTACATAACACTAATTGCTATTAGTGTAAACTTTTTGTTGACATGGATACCTTTATATTATCAAAAGGAGGTATTTGTTATGATAATATGATTTGGCTTTTACATTTGCTGTTGAGGTAATAATTCAAACTAAATGTTAAGTAATATGATTAGAAGCCATTGAAATACTATCTGAGGAGCGTTGGTTACTGTTTGTATTTTGTTACCTCCTTTAACACTGTTGGGAAATTGTTCACGTTTGCTCGTCTTTTTAAGTTATGCTGACAAAAAGCAGAAAAAGCTGATTGCGTTATCTATTTAGTCTCATTTTACAAATTCAAGTGCATTAATACACCTTTAAATATTTTAGTTATTTTGTGTGTGTGTGCGTGTGTGTTTGTTTTAACGGTTTTTAAAACTTGTGTACTAGTATGGGTTAATATAAATGCTTTGTTTTCTACATTGTGTTAAATCACATTGTCGTCTGTGATGTCATTTGGATAAAAAGTGTTATTGCTCTTGCATCTGTCTCTACCATGTAACTCAACATGTGTTTTTAACATCTGTGTTCCCATGAAGAAAATGATGCACTTTTGTACACTTTCAGACAATGCTCTCTGAAATAAAGAAATGACCAATGACAGTTGTTTCAGGTTATTGTCATTTTAAAGCAGCTGGAATAATTGACATGTCGCCCATGCACAAATATGTGAAACAGTCAGGAGGGTTTAGGCAGAAGGTAAAAGGAGGAAGCTGCATATTCTGTGTGCCGTGGCTGTGTGATAACCACAAGTAAGGCTAAACAACAAGCTATGGCCAAAGATAGAGCAACATTCAACTGCTGTCTTCATTATGGCGACAACGTGACTCAGCTAATAGTGCACACTACAGCGTATTAAGTAGTCTACAGCATAGACCAATGAGTCCCAAAAGAAATGAGCATAAACAAGATAAACAACGACGAATAAACCATAGAAGACACACACACAGTCTGTCTTTCAGTTTGCAGGAATACTACTATTATGAATTACAGTCTGGAGATGTAATCTAAACTGGACTCATTCTAGAAAATGTACTTTGAAACAAAAGACAAAATAATAAATCTACAGCGGTGTCATTTTTGTTTGTTCATTCCTCTGACATCTTATCGTTTTAAAGCCAAATCAACAGCAGCAGAGCCACACTCAGGTGCATAATCTGAGGGTATCATACAGTATTGTTTTTCTTCCCCTAATTAACTGAATTCTCCCTTTTTGTTGGTTGTGTGTAATGAATAGAGTGCTTTACTGTAGGATCAGGGCAGTGCAGTAATTGGAGCATTCATAAAGAGATTACGTCGGCACTGATGGGAACAGAAATCGTTTCAAAACACACACAAGCTCACCACTTCTGGGAAAAACACACTGAACTCATATAAACCCCCATCTAGCTCCACACTCTGTGGACTCCGCCAAGGAGCGTAACTGTATCGTGCAGAGGTCTACATACTGGGAGTAACAGGAGAGGGATGGTGGAGCACAACTTCTATACTGGGATATGTCTATTTCTTGGCAGCCAGCAGAGGGAGACTGGCCAGCTGGTGTCAGTAGGTCAGAGCTTTTTCTCACACAGCTCCTCTGCTCATTAGAGAGTGAACTCCGATGCACAGGAAGCCTCTGAGCGCATGGAGAGAGAGAGAGAGAGAGAGAGAGAGACAGAGAGAGTAAAAAAGAAAAGAAAAAGACAACGCCTACTGCCACAGAATAAATGACCACATGCAACTATAAAGCTCCGTTTGTAACTGGGCGGATTGTTTCTGAGAGAGAGCTGTCTATCGGCGAACTGACGGGGCAGAATGTCACGACGGGACCAAAGGTTTCGGAGAGGGATGAAAGGACGGTAAGAGAGACTGCCATCAATTTGCTGCGATGTGTTTGTGCCAGTGAGAGAAAGAAGAGAAAGAGTGTGAAAGCGTGAGCAAAAGTGAAACACAGAATACCTCAGCAAATTGTACTTCAACATCTGCGATACTTCCTCAAAAACAACTTTGCTGTGACAAAGAGACACATGAGTAACCTGTGTTGCTTCTATATTCTGTCTACTTTCACATCAACTATGAGTAATGAAACCAAAACAATAACAAGCAAATATGTTGCCTTGCTAGGTATCCACGCAGCCTACCATACAATCCATAACTAAAAAAATGTTGTTTGTTTTTGTGGATCTGTTTGTTCTACCTCCTCTTCCTCAGGTCTATATCAAAAGATGCATGCATAATACTGCATACATAACACCATTGAGACAATATCCCTGTAACACCCAAACATTACTTCTTAATATCTCCAGTTATTTAAAGGAAATCCAGCAGAGCGACACAGACAGAACATGGAGGAAACCCTAGCAGGAAAATACGTCATCAGATTCTTAACATTTGACCTGCGTTAATGTCCTGACATCACAACATGTTTGTTGTATGTACAACAGGTGCTGGCGCTATTAGTGACACAGGAACATATCTCGGGAGATTTATGAATGGCTAAAGATAAGCGTAAGACGCAGCACAAGCCAGGTGAAGGTATTACTGTCAAACAGAGTAATGTGAGGAGATGGGTGGCAGTAGGAAACAGAGAGGAGGATAAATGACCAGATGTTGAGGTGGAAGCTGGGAGGCTCCACATCCGATGCCAGCAGAAGAACAAAGACAGAGGGTCGAAAAAAAAAAAACCCACAACTGTCTGATGAGGTTTTATTACTTTATTATTTCCTCCGCAATAATTCGGAGTCAGGTGTAATAGATCTCTAACTGAACTTCCCACAGTGCACTGTTTCCCCAGCAAACCTAGTATCTGATATTAGTAGAAACTCTTTAACTTTACTCAAGTCCTGCTGAGTATGAGCTGCAGCAGTGAACCTAAAGTTCAATATCAAGTAATCATACATGACCATGCTGTTGTCTGTATTAACAAACAACTTAAAATTGATCCTATTCCCGGTTAAATAAAGTATTTACAATCTCTACCAGAAGAAGTGATGTGTGATGTGACATTTCCATCAGGAGCAACAAGCGTTTCTGAGAAGAAAGAGAACTGGGTGTAGTCGTCACTATAGTGACACTGACGTAGCCTCCGACAAGCGCAATACAAAACCACATCAATTACTGATGAGCACGGAAGTTAGTAGTAGATGTACAGGATCATGCTTTTCACCACTTTAAGTTGTGTTCCAAGATGTAAGACGACTAAATAAAATAACACGATTGATCACAGTGAAACGTCGTCACTGTACATGAGAGGAAACTCTCCAACTTTTATTCTCAATAGAAAGGCAACCTTTTCATTCTCTATTGTGAGGACAGCATGGCATTTACAGTTGAGGCTGGGAGAGAGGAAACATGGGGCTGTACTCTGTCCAGGAAGTCACTTCCCACTGAGGCGGTTGCATTGAAGAGATAAGGAAGCAGGTTTTTGTTGTGTATAGGTATTATTCTTCATTCAGCTTCAGCGCAGGATGCCACGGGGAGTTTCTGTTTTCAGTTTTTAAAGGACTGAAAGTGAACATGCTGTGATGCATTCAAGCAACAATAGCTTTTTAAACTGCGGCAATGTTTTCACTTTGTTTCGCTCTCTTTTGCAATCTTTGAGTGGGTGTGCCCTTGGAGTGAAGACATGTGACATTCCTTTTGTAAGAAGCAGTATTAGTTTGGCATCTGGCTGAATGTGTTCTCTGTCACAGTGTACGCTGCCTTACAAAAGTATTCAGCCACTTGGCGATGGATTTTTATCTAGATTTTATATAATGGATCGACACAAAACAGTGAACGTTGAAGTGAAATGAAAAAAACAACCTTGAAAAGTGGTGCGTGCTTATGTATTAATCGTCTTTGCTATGAAGCCCCTAAATACGGTCTAATGTTACCAATTACCTTAAAAAGTCACATAATTATTTAAATAAAGTCATGGGACACATCATTCCACACTTAGACTGTCACATGATCTAAAGGAGCACCATTAAATCCTTTATTACAAAATGGAAAGAATATGGCACCACAACCAACCTGCCTAAGCCGTAATCTCCACAGAGCTGGGCTTTAAACGAGAAAAAAAACAATAAGATAACACATTTGGAGTCTCCCACATACTTTTTGGCGAACTCCACACACGTATTTCTTATTTTTTTCTTCAAACAATGTTTTTTTTCTGGCCACTCTTCCATTAAGCCCATCTCTGTGGAGTGCACGGCTTAAAGTGTCCCTATGAACAGAGACTCCAATCTCCTCTGTGGAGCTTTCCAGCTCCTTCAGGGTTTTCTTTGGTCTCTTTGACGCCTCTCTGATTAATGTCCTGCCTGCCTGGTCCCTGAGTATGGTCCTCATTCGGTAGGTTTGCTGTGGTGCTAGATGCTTTCCATTTTGTTATAATGTATCTAATGGTGCTGTCTTAGATCATGTGACACTTAGATTGCACACAGGTGGACTGTAATTAATTAATTATGTGACCTTTGAAGGTAAGTGGTAGCACCCAATCGTATTTAGGGCCTTCATTAGCACGCACCAGTTATCAGTTTGTTTGTTTTTTGTTTCATTTTGCTTTTTCACTATTTTCACTAAAAATCCATTTTAATTCCAAAATAGGAAAGACACCAAGGGGGGGGGGTGAATACTTTTGCAAGGCGCTGTATCATGCAACATTTCAACACAATCCCCGTTGTGACATTAACTGTATTTTAAGCTCAACTTTGTGACTAATAAAAGAATCACATTGTCATTCAACACAAGCATGGGGTCAAAGAAGTCAAGAGAGGAAAGGAGATGCGTATCGGTGACAGTGACGATAACGGTCCAACTGGCCTGAAAGTGTTGCACCTGACCCCGTGTGTGACGATCTCAGAGGTTGACTATCCTCGCGAGTCTCACGTGTTCCATCACTGATGTGGCTCATGTTACTTTGCTCCGACACACCTCTGAAGAATCATCTTACATCCGCTCTAAATCTCCATTTTCTCTTGTTTCCACATCCTATTCTCTCTCTTCCCTGCTTCACACTTCTCTCCAGGTGTTGTGAATGTGGCTGCATCCTGTCTCACTGGTACTATGAGAGAGAGGCACAGCTCTACTGTAAGAAGCACTACTGGGCCCGCTATGGAGAGCACTGCCACGGCTGCAAAGAGACCATCGCCACAGGACTCATTATGGTACCACGATAACTCATTTTAGAACCAGACCTTTCCTATTTCTGTGATGCTTACAAACATTTCATTATAATTAGTCACGACATTGCAGTTAAAGACCAAACCAACAGTCCCAAGCCAAAGCCTCCTAGCATATCATCCTCCTCTCTGTTTTTCAGCTTACTCGCTCCAAAACATGTTGTACTCAGCCAATAACAAATTGATTGATAGTTGGTGTGCTGGTTTAAAAATAGCTGCTTTATTGATCATTGAAAGCCTCCATTTGTTCCAACTGAGACGTGGCCATACAAATATTATGTGTATTACGTAATATTCACAGGTAGAAGTACGGCATTAATCTCTGTAACAAGAAATACAGGATCTTAGCATGATACGCCAACTATTGATAAATTCAAAGCCTTCCTGTGTCTTGGTTTCTTCCTGGTATGAAAGTAAATGCATTTCGTCTTTCAACAGTCACACTGGAGGATATCCTCTGAAAACATCCTGACACTACAATGCCCTTTTGCAGGAATGCATAGAAATGACTCTTTATGTTTCAGAGCTGCATTTGGTCCCTACCCCACCAAACTATCATCTTCTGTATCAAACAATATTATGACATTGGCTTCTGCATTGTGTTTTACCACACTGCCTAAACAGGTTGCCGGAGAGCAAAAGTACCACCCTGAATGCTTCACTTGTATGAGCTGTGAAATGTTCATTGGAGATGGAGACAACTACACGCTCATCGAACGCACAAAACTCTACTGGTGAGTTTGAAGCTGAAAGGAAAGAAATTAAAGTTCTTTGCTGAATTTTCTAAGCCTCCAAAACAATCTATGAAAAAGTAAGGGTATCATTTTTGGTAAACTATGTAAAGATGTATGATTCTGATGAGTGCCCTTTATTCCATCTCTTGATTTGTCCGTTCTGCAGCGGCCACTGTTTCTGTCAGGGTGTAGTTTCAGCAGCGAGGTCATCTTCGCCACTCGCCAAGAGTCCCCACATGGTGGCGCTGGTGTCTCTCCCTCCCCGTGCAGGTGGCCCACGAGCCCTGACTCTCACCACTGACCTCAGCCAAGAGAAAGGCCCTCTTGTCACTGTGACAGGGTGAGTCTCTGAATCCGAGCCAAGAGTGGACTTTGCATTTAGTCAGAGCCAACAACCCAGGCTCGTTTTGTCTTCGCCCACCTTTCCTGCACCCGTTAACTCACTGACTGTCTCCCTCAGGTTAGACACAGCTGCCCTCAGCCCTGACCTGCTGTCCTCTGTCCACAATGGGGACCGAGTACTTGAAGTCAACGGCATCCCTGTCCACAACATCACCCCAGACGAGGTAGGCCGCAAACTACCCACCGATTCCACCGAGCCATAACATCCACAAAAAAAAAAAAACTTAACAATTAAACCGGAAAAACTAATACGTCACCAAAGGTCAATACGATATGCTTTCCTCTAGATAAACTGTGTGATCCAGGATACAAGCCGACCACTGCAGCTGACCATCGAACACAACCCGCAGCCTCCCGTTGAACTCCTCCTCTCAAACGATCCCCAGGATGACATCAGCTGTCCCGACCTTTGTGTCCGGGACAAAGTTTCTTCGACCCACAAACTCCAAAGTCTGGAGGAAGAGCCCAGTCCAGGGGAGGAGACCGATGGACCAATGAGCATGAGCCTCTCCCCTCCTCAGCACCAGGGGACCATGGGAATGCGATCCAGACATATTCTGTAAGTGCTGACTCTCGGCTTACTTTGCTTTCTTACTCTTCTCTTTCTCTCTGTCTGAGTCTTTCTTTTCTTTCTCAGGCGCAGCTGTAGTATCGATAAGTGTCCTCTGTCCTCCGGGGCACTGTCGTTGTTATCTCAAAGGAGAGACATGGTTCGCTCAGAGTCTCTCCGTGCGGACGCCGGAGATCGAACCCATCGCATCTTCAGACCTTCAGACCTCATCCACGGAGAAGTGCTTGGCAAGGGCTTCTTTGGACAGGCTGTCAAGGTACCGCAGTTACATTTCCCTCCATTCTTCACGACTCTACACCTAGTCGGCAGTTATTCTGTACGAATGATTTTAATCAGCCTTGTGATTAACCTGTTGTTATCAAGGTGACGCATCAGGAGACAGGGGAGGTGATGGTGATGAAAGAGTTGATACGTTTCGACGAAGAGACCCACAAGACTTTCTTAAAGGAGGTAAATGGTTATTAGAGCAGGAAGTTAACCTGTCCTACCAACCCTGCTGGTGGTCATTTGTATTTAGGGTTCTACTAAAGAATGAACAGGTCTAAGTTAAGATAAGTGCTCTTCACTATGGGAGCCCACTTTAGGTTTTAAGTTGGTAAGAAAGCTGTATTTTTCACTAGCACAGTTTTAACCCCATCTTACATCATCCAGAGGGTTACTCGGTCAGTTTCTTACCTGTGAGCTATTTCCCTGCTGCTGCAATGACGTGAAGCATTTGTTCAACCACTCTTCCTCTCTATCTGTACAGGTGAAGGTGATGCGCTGTCTGGACCATCCCAATGTCCTCAAGTTCATTGGACTGTTTTATAAAGACAAACGAATAAACTTTGTCTCTGAATACATCCAGGGAGGAACTCTCCGAGAGACCATCGTAAAAATGGTATGTTAAAACTCCAGAAGGACTGTCAGAGCACATGGGCACAGTATGTTGATCACACTCTGCTTCTCGTAGGATGAGGATTTCTCCTGGAGTACAAGAGTGGGTTATGCCAAAGACATCGCAGCTGGAATGGTGAGTCTTTCAAGGTTAATATCCAACATCTTTATTTGATCCTATAGTACCAACTTCCCCTAATGTATATAACATCTCTCCTTCTAAGGCATATCTGCACTCCATGAATGTTATCCACCGAGACTTAAATTCACACAACTGCCTGGTCAGAGAGGTAAACAAGCGGTTCCATCACACACATCAGCTAACATCAGATAGCTTCACCGTAGGATACACAAACCCATCACGAATGACTATTTCCCCACAGTGTTGAGGTGTTTCATCAATATGTTGATTGCTTCATATTTCATAAAATTGTAAACTTACTGTGAACAAACAAAACTAGGGTTAGCTTTGGATAGCCAGCTTCATTTTGGATCCAAATCCAAGTCTATTAAATCTGTTTAAACAGCAGAGTCAATCCACCAAACAGGTCATCATTATGACACCTGGGGAAATAAACTGACTTATAGTTATTTGAATGTTTATTTCTTAAATATTAAACCTATATGGAACTTTTGTTCGTTAAAGTTTCAGTTTTAAAATTTCAATATCATTCAAATGTTGTAAACATTAACACCAGCTCCCAACTGAAGCTAGCGTCTGTATTTCATTGTTTTCAAATTATAAATCTAAAACTTAAATGATCAAACTCTTCCTACTGTATAGTTTCCACTTAATGCTTAATCCTTGTTGCATACATGATTGATACCTCTCTCTCTCTCTCTCTCTCAGAACCAGACTGTGGTGGTGGCAGACTTCGGACTAGCCAGGCTGATAATAAAGGAGAGGAATCAGACCACAACATCCTCGATGGAACGGCCTGCGAAGGGGACACTGTCAGAGCTCCGCAGGCCTGACCGGAGGAAGCGCTACACCGTGGTAGGAAACCCCTACTGGATGGCCCCTGAGATGATCCACGGTGAGTGCACAAGGTTCCAGGCCATCGGTTATAGCAATGTCTGAACCTGAACCAATCGCACAGAGGCTTGTTTGTAGTGAAGGTAAAGAGTATGATGTAACTAATTCCAACATCTTTGGTAGCCTGGAGGCCCTGGACTACATTTTCCTAATTCTATAACAGAGGAGACGCTTGTGAAAAATCATTGTAAGCCTCATTACCTTATTTATACCAGCTAAAATATGGCAAATGGCACAGGTACAATACTTCTGATTACGAGTAAAGGACTTTAGATTCATGTGAGACCTCACAGCGTAGGAGTAAGACTAACCCTAACCCTAACCCTAGAAAAAAAGTATAAATTACTCTCAGTGATGTTTCGAAGCGGAACAGACTAACCTCAGCTTGCCTCTTGATGCCAGAAGTAATGCAAGATAACAAAATATGCAAATAAATGGTAAGTGTGTGACCTGAAATGATTCTGAGGTCTAGTTGCAGGTTTAATATGAATACAGTGAAAACGTGATCTCTACGTCTCCACCATGGGCCAGTAAAGATGTGGCTCATATTTTCCAATCTTTCCTCTGCACCTCTCAGGGAAAAGCTATGACGAGCGGGTGGACGTCTTCTCCTTTGGTATCATGATATGTGAGGTAAGAATCTGGGCAAAGAATAGTAATCCTAAAAGTGTTAAAATGTTCTATAGATGTCAAAACAAATAAACCTGTATTATCCTCGGGCGGGGCGGATAAAATCAAATGTCATGATTTCTTTTTTTCACCAAATACCTCTATATCGTTATTAAATAATGTAACAGCTAGAACAGTTTGGTCAATTCAGAAAATGATATCACTTTACTGTAATGCAGCCTTCACAACCAATATTTATATGACGTCCAAAATCTAAGACGATATCTAGTCTCATATCACGTTATCGATAACATACCAATATATTGCCCAGCCCTATATTATCCACACTTATTTTTATTGATCAAGCATCTTATCAGTTTTAAAGCAGAGTCCGAATCTCTGTCTCTCTATAGATTATAGGTCGAGTGAATGCTGACCCTGACTACCTTCCCCGGTCCAATGACTTCGGGCTAAATGTAGCCGGCTTCCTGCAGCAGTACCACCCTCCACGCTGCCCCCCGGCCTTCCTGCCTCTGGCTGTCCTCTGCTGTGACATGGACGCTGATCAACGGTATGACTGCACGAATAGTCCGCTACATATTCAATCAATGCATTATTGCAGTAGAGCATGTGAAGCTCTACAGCCTCAAATCACTGCAACTCTTTGTCTTCCAGTCCTTCTTTTTCGAAGCTGCAGGAGTGGCTTGAGAACCTGCTGATGCACCTGGACATCGGCCTGCCTCTGCTGTCTGAGTTAGAGCAGCACCGCAGAGCCTTCTGGCAGAAGCACAACCATCAAAACCAGTCTCACAACCTGGACAAGACCCTGGATTCACATGAACAAACCCACATCTCACAGCCACAAAGACAGAGCTCCGACCCCACGCGACGTTCGGACGATGCGAACAACCACATGGAGCCTAATCACCTCGCTCAGAACCAAACCCAAAATGGCCTACCTGAAAGCCATTCGGACGAAGAGCAACACACACATGGCCTGACTTGTTACAGGTCGACGAGCATGGACCCAGGCGAGAATGGGCCTGAAACCTATGAATGCAGTAACCCCTCAGGACAACCCAAAGCCGAGGACGAGCCCTTACAGCCGCTACAGGTCAAAGACGTGCTGCTACGCCATTCCAACAGGACCAGGAGGACATGCAGAGTGCTGTGGGACAGATCTACAGAGGACAGCTCTTTTCTCTGACTGCGCAGCACATTTTTGAGGGAGAAAACTATTTATGAAGACATTTTGTGCGTTTTCAAACAACTGGGAGAGAAGTGAACGTTTCTTAAAAAGGTGTGTGGAGCATTAATACGCGGAGAACCTGCGGAGGCATAACAGTGGGATTCATATGGGACATTTAGCAGTTCATATTTGTGTGCTGCTTGATGAAAACTGCCGAGCACATTACATTTGCCTCATATTGCTCTGTGAACCAGTATTTATGTTGTTTCAACAAGACCCGACAAAACTAGATTTAGTTGATACCCATATTGACATTTCAGAGGTCGATATTAATTAAATTGCAGTGCATTGGCCGGTAGTTATTCATTAATATAAGACACAACAGAAACAAGCATTTTTGATAAGGATTCATATAATTCCATAACGTTTGTTAGTGCGCTCTGGTGGACAGACTACGTAATGGAAACACCGTTTCTAAATTACCTCAAGTCATATCTTTTGCATTTTAGTGCTACAGTTTATCTTTACTTATCAGCCAACATCTGTGATGATGCCGGTAAAAATTGGTCGGCCAATGTATCGGTTGGGCTCCGGTGTCAACTTTGTCCAGAAGCTGTGAAACACATGGCACTTTATACCAGCTACACTGCATGGGTCAAGTATTTAAGAGAATGCTTTTTTGTATTTTCTGTTGAAATGTTTCCGCCCACATACTGAGCAGTGAACATATAAATGTACAATTTAATAAAGAGAAGTGTAAATTCAAATGACTAATGTTAAATCACTACCATTGAATCACCTTGGTAAAAATGTATATATATATATATATATTTTTTTTTTTTCGAAGGCTATTCTTTATAATTTAAGACAGTGGCCAAGGCCAACAATTTACTAATCCTGAAGTGCCCACACATTTTGGTATAATGATATTTTACATAGATGAGTGACATCAATACATTTAAAAGTATACTTACCTGAAAACCTATGGACCCGGAATCACACACTCACCTCCTGTGGGCTTGACAGGTGGCTCTGAAAAAAAGTGCAGCTTATTAAATTGAAGTTGTGGAGCCCTCCCGTCCTGGGCCGTGCACATCCCACTTCAGTTTGTAATGTTTGCAGTCAGGAGGCTTTCTATTGCTCCTCTGTAAAAGTTGACAAGAACTTAGCACAGGAATTTTGCCTTCTTAGGTGTCCTTAAGAAATACAACCGTTTATGAGATTTCTTCACCAGGATGGAGATGTGTGAGGACCAGGTCAGGTTGTTTGTGATGCTGCTAACTTGCTTCACCTCAGCTCCATTGATGTAGACTGGGGTTGTGCCTCTTCACCTCCTTTTTTTACTAAAATCAACAATCAGCTCCTTGAGTTTACTGACGCTGAGCAGTAGTTGGCAAACTTCACCACAGAGTTCTCTTCATGTTTGGGGTGGCAGTCGTGGGTGTAGAGCGAGAACAGGAAGGGGCTGAGCACACAGCACTGGGGGGCTCCGTTACACTCGACTTTGAGACCATTAGCGGTAGTTCAGTTCAATTACAAGAACAATGTTGCCAATGCAAAATAAAATGCAACACTGGCAGCCGGTCCATCAGCCCCCTCCAAGGACACTCCTCCAAACTTATCATTTTGAACATTTACATATAATAATAAATGTAAACAACGCACATGGCTATTGTTAGTACTCACTTGGCTATCTTTAGTACTCACGTGGCTATTGTTAGTACTCACGTGGTACTCTCAGCTGTCAAACTGGCAGCGAGTTGAAGACTCCGGTGACGCGCAATGAGTGCGCGGGTAGAGTGCGCGCGTAGAGTGCGCGCAACTCAAGTAGACAGAACCTGTCAATCATCTCACTCGGCAGCCACAGCCCTTACTGGATTTTTTTTTTTTTTGTCGGAACATTTAAATTATTGATTGCTGTTGGGAAGCAATTTCAATAAATAAAATACAAGAATGTACATATAATATAAAATATGTGTATACACTCAATAGTTTATATAACGTTCTATAAACGACGGTACAAACGTTGCTAATGTGTCTGAAAAATACTCATACAAGCGGACAGCGGAGAAATTGATTAGCGAATATAGATTAAAAGTGTAGTTTAAAGGTTTCCATGGACTCTTTCAAATATATATATTACCATGAGACTAATTGTTGGATTGTCTACATCTACGTAACTTCAGGAAGCCAGGGAGAGGTGAGGTTTAACTTTACTCTAGTTATCTTATAGAGCCGAACCGGGGCTAGCTAGCTAGCTAATGCTAGCCTACATGATAGCAGAGGCACACTAAATATTTTTTACACATTTAAACATTTTTATAAGAGCGAGCATACTTTTGACCAGAATCATGAAAAATGCAGTAATATCAGTTATTATTTGTATTTGTATTATCATTATTATTGTCAGTAGTAGTAGTAGCTAGCTGTTAGCATCCAGCACTGAATCACCAGCTGTTAGTACTGAGCCTCCACCCTCGCTCGCTCTCTCTCTCATACTTAACGTCAGAGCGGACTGCACCCGGAGATCAGTGTGTGTGCGTGAACCCACGCACACCACATGCTTCATCATACTGTATTAGTTCTTGTGTAGTTTGGTCTTTCGGCATCACTCACATCGTGTTTTTTATTCCAATTTTTCTTCCTCTGATCTGGGGACAGTTTGAGGCAGCAACATGCAGCACATGTCATCTCCAGTCAGGTTCCGCAGCAGCAGCAAGAAAGGTAACTTCGTCTGTAACACATCTAGGTTGCATTACTGATTTCTTTTTACAATAACCGATAGTTTCTGCAATATGAATTAGTCATCCAACAGCAGCCAGAGGTTGTTGTTTTTTAGGTATTTTGTATGGCACTTGTATTCGTTTGCCCTTTATTCAAGAAGAGTAAGTATAGTGCATCAGGAGGATGCTGTGTGTGATATAAACAATGGGAGAAAATGTTGTTGTAAGCCACTCAGTGTTATGTTCTACTAGTTTAAAGTGTGCATTTTGTTTTAAAGTTTTGAGTATTGATAGCAGGAGCTTATTTATTTCACTTGGACCAACAGCCATACTCTTCTACTCATTATCCAGCTTCTACAAGTCTATGCATTTGTATTGTCTTTTTTTTACAAACATTAAATGTTTTCCCTTTTATATTTTCTATCCTCTGCTAAAAAAAGATGCAACTTTCTCAGAAAAGGAGGTAGGACACAATTGTAGAATAGTCTTTAATGATAGTGTTTGTAGCTTGTGTGTGTGTTTAAGAGTTAAATCTCCAACCCCCACCCTGTCACAGCATTAGAAGCTGGGTTAAGCCTGCTGCAAAGCTTTGTGGGTAATGAGAGCTGACAGGTAGAGGGATGGCAGACGAACCGTGATCAGGTCAGCAGCACTGTGAGCCGTGTTGTTCTGCTGTCTTTGGGCCTCAACAGCACAATGCGTGCCCTGAAATGTGCATCTCCTGTAAAGCAGGTGTGGAGTCTCGGCTGTGCTAACCGCTCATGACAGCGAGTAGGATTTTTAAAACTACTACTTTATTCTACTGTAACTCCAGTTTGACACTAGTGTTTACAGACCTCCAACTCCAGACGGTGTTTTGTTGGTCAACACACCCTGCCTGGACAGATGGATGAAGGCCTCTGTAATGATATAATGGGATCACAAGTCAGGACTAATCAGTGAAGAAAGGATATCCACCACAACAAAAGACACAGAAGACTCATTATGCTCTGTATTCAGAGAGCATGACAGTGACTGTTAGTCAGTTTGTGATACCAATGATGCTATACATACATAGATTAAAGATTATTACATTTCAGTTGAGGGGGAAAGGACTTCCAGTGCTGGATTTCTTTGTGTCCCGCATTGACTAACAACTCTTAACTGTAACTTTCTGTGATTACTGAATTAACTACATATTTTAAGGTTTCTGTGCTCTTTTTAGCTCTCTGTCTGTCTTTTACTTTGGCCTCAAGAGTAATCTACTTTCTTATTGTGCCGTCATCTTTCCAAGCAGATCAGTAAATAGGAAAAATAAATCACTCCCCCTTTTAGTTTTGATTAAAAGCGATACTATATTTTTTGAGACTTTCAATCATACATAAAAATCCATAATGTGCCTCCTGTCACAGTTGTCCAGTCTGTCCATCGAGGACCAGGAGGACACTCAGTTTCCTTTCGCCATGAGGGATCTGCCTCCCATCTCTCAGCCTGGCGACCAGCACCAGGCACCGGACCACCAGGCACCAGTCCACCGTGAGGCAGAGGGAACTGGGACAGCAACCAACGGACTTACCAGCCTCCCCGGGACTCCCCGTCTGCCGCGTGCCGTCTTCTGCAACCCCGCTGGCTCTCCGACAGTCCCCCATAGACCAAGTCGCGTGGGACCAAACGCAGATCTTCAGCTCTTGGCGCTGAGGAGGCAGCTCATCTCTCAGGTGTCTATGGACTGTCCACTCAGCCCGGCGTCTCGTCCACACAGCCCCTGGGGACGCTTTGACCCTTATGACTCTCCAGAGGTGGGTTTCTGTGTGTCAGAAGAAGCCCCTAAGTTACATCATTTCTGTTTTAAATATGGCGGCCCACTCTTGGTCGACCAATCGGTTGTTTTGGTCATGGTCGTCTAAGATTGCTTTAGTCGATTACTCGTTTTTTATGGTGGTTTTGCATGATTCTTTGTGGAGTAACTTAAGTTTTACAGATCTGTCGATAAATCAGCCAATTGATTAGTTGACAAAATCGTGTGAGTAAACTAAGCTAAGGATTTGTTTTGTCAAGGACAGCCCTAGTTTTATACATTTCCTAACTTTGTACACGATTCTGAACTCTCACTATGGAGTTCAGAAAACTCTTTGCAGCTGCACTATCAACATAAAGGAAATATAAAGTTAGTTACGGATGTCAGACATTAACTTTCATGTTAAAATCAGTGCTGCATGACGACGTGGTTAACGGGTATTAGACCAGACTTAGGTGGTCTGGCCCCATGATGCTTTGCAGATCATGATGAGGGTCACGTTGTCCAGGTCAGGCCGCTACAGTCATGGTTGTTACCATGACTGTAACATAAAGTAGCATTGGTACTCACTCTCTTAATCCTTACTTATAAACAATATGCACACATTGCGTTTGTGTTTTCATTCTGCAGGATCGGGACAAAGAGTATGTGGGTTTCGCCACGTTGCCCAACCAGGTTCATAGAAAGACGGTGAAGAAAGGATTCGCATTTACGCTTCTGGTGGCGGGTGAGTCCTCCCATATGTCTGCTAACTGGGAACCTTTAACGGGCTCCTATCGTGACAGAATGTAACATCTCTCCTATAACGGGGATTGTATTGCACACTGCAAATCACACCGCCATATACAAACATCTAGAAGTTTGGATGTTAAATGAACTGATACAATGCTAAGAAATGCGTTCATCGGTGTAGATTACAGACACACCTGCTCTGATTTCTACATGTCATCTCGTTTTATGTGTGAAGAAGCACTTCCTGTTTGTTGAAGTAAATCCTTCAGAGGAATACAGACATTGCACACTTGGATGTGGTATGTTACTCGTGCTACTTCAAGAGCTCTGGGTTGTGTCTTTCTCTCTGTAGGGGAGTCTGGCCTCGGTAAATCCACACTCATCAACAGTTTGTTCCTCACGGACCTCTACCAAGACAGGAAGGTTCCCAATGCACAAGGTGAGATTAGGTCTCTTATTTATTTTTGTTAGCTGCCATTTCTGTTGTGCTAATGTTGATGCTGTTACTCCTCTCTGGCCCTGAGGCGTGCGCGTGTTCTTGTGTATGCTTTGCACTCACTGTTAACTCGTTGCCTGCGTAGTTACTTTGCACTTGTATGTGTCCGCAGAACGGATCGATCAAACAGTCGACATCGTAAAACACACCATTAGCATTGAGGAGAAAGGAATCAAAGTGAGGCTCGCCATCATAGACACACCGGGGTTCGGAGACGCTGTCAACGACACAGAAAGGTGGGGGTCATCAACGTGTGCCTGCGGCATGTTTCTCCGCCTTCAAACTCAGAGCAGCTTGACCCGGATGTGACATTTGTTCTGGTGTTAAAGACAGGCCCCGTGATAATGAACCAGACTGCAACTCACGGCATTACATTTTAAACTGTCAGCTATCCGCCAGGGTTGTTGTTTTACTCACAGATGTTGTATGTCTGCATCAGCTGGAATCCAATAGAAGACTACATCGACCAGCAGTTTGAGCAGTACTTCAGAGACGAGAGCGGGTTGAACAGACGGAACATCCAGGACAACAGAGTCCACTGCTGCCTCTACTTCATCTCTCCAATTGGCCACGGGTACGCTGGCGACATGTCTTTAATTCTGCCCACGAGGCTAAACTAGTCAAACAGTACTGCAACAGCCTCACCTAAAAGTTGTTCAATATCTTTTTGGCATGCTCCTGCTTGTGTGCACCAACATACACATACATGTGTTTGTTTATTTTGTAACATCAGTCTTCGGCCTCTGGATGTGGCGTGCATGAAGGCTTTGCATAACAAAGTTAACATAGTTCCTGTTGTGGCCAAAGCTGACAGCCTGACACAAGCGGAGGTCGACAGAAAGAAGCTGAAGGTGTGAAATCATTAAACACACACGTAATTGAGGAGAAGCTTTATTTTTCATTTCTTGTCTGTTTCTCCTCAAGCGTTATTGTTTCAATGTGTTCACGTACTCTAGATCAGAGAGGAGATCGAGCAGTTTGGGATCAACATCTACCAGTTTCCCGAGTGTGATTCAGATGAGGACGAAGACTTTAAAAGACAGGACCAGATACTCAAGGTTCTTCAGTTGACTCTAATTTTGTTTAAACGTGCCGTCTCATCCAGGGTAAGACTGACAGCGCCTTGTTTTTGATTCTCCCTGCAGGACAGCATCCCATTTGCAGTAATTGGGAGTAATGTTCAGGCGGAGAGTGAGGGTCGCAAGTTCAGGGGTCGTGTCTATCCCTGGGGTGTGGTAGAAGGTAATGCACACAAAACTCCTCTTTTGTCTTAGTCAGCTTTTACAGTGTCTTTAGACATTTTGTACTTGGGTGGTTACTTGATTTTGTATCAGTTTTTGTTACATGACTTTTGTTCCATTTGATAGCAAAGATAAAAACGGTCTGATCTCGTGTCACGTTGTTGTTGCATGGTCAGTGGAGAACCCGGCTCACTCTGACTTCCTGCTGCTGAGGAACATGCTGGTGAGGACGCACATGCAGGACCTGAAGGATGTGACGGGGGAGACGCACTATGAAAACTACAGAGCCCAGTGCATTCAGAATATGACGCGCATGGTGGTGCAGGAGAAGCAGCGCAGGTGTGTGGAGTCAGGATGCACGTGGACACCGTGGATTGGTTGATTAAAATTCTTTGAGTCAATAAAACTCTGTCTCTGAAGTTGCTTATTTGTGGACAACCATTAGTTGAGGAACACGAGTCTTGATGATTATTTCACACACTTGCCTTTTACATTGTTGCTTCTAGGAGGAGAGGGGTTTGTTTTACAGGATGTTTTAAAGACAATATAGGCTCTTAAAAAAAGAACAAATCCATGCGCACACTGATATTTTCTGTGCTGATTAAGCCGGGTGCTCACGCAGGTTCTTCTTTGTGTGACTATGGGTCTTAGTTTGCGTGAGAAGCATGGAGAGCAGAGCGAGGCTGATTTTCCTCTGCCGCTGGCTCCCCCCGACTCTCAGACGGAAAGAATCCTCTTTGAGAAAGACGAAGAGGTACGTTTCTCTCGTTCATTCACTCGGTCACAGTGAAGTTATCACCACTCACCTCATTTATCCCCCTCTGTAGCTGAGGAGGATGCAGGAGGTGCTGGAGAGGGTCCAGGAGCACATGCAGCACAGCCAGAGAGGTGGTTTCTGAAGAGGAGACGGAGGAGGAGCGCCCGTCTACAATGCATGAGCAAAAAGAGATGAACTTGTATGAAAATCAAAGTAGCGACGTTGAGGTTGTCTGTCCCCCCCAAAAAATAACAAACAAGTGAACTTTAGACTCTAAGTATAAAGACGCAGCCTCTCAAACTCCTGCGCATGTTTGTTTACCTGCAGCCAGGAGATGTTCCAGACTTCAGCAGGTCACACTGGCTCACAGGTGGATCGATTCTGTGATATTCTTCATTCTTCATCCTAAAACGACAATCATCATGTCTTCATCCGGAGACAATAGTTACCTTTGTTCCATTAATGTGTTCCAGGACTGCAACTTGAGTAGTAACCTTGATAAGCATGTAACACAGTCATCTAGGGGTCTTTGTAGTCATGTTGAAGTTGGGTTTTGAATTTGTAAACAGCATTTTTCATGTTTATTACCTGTGAGTTACTTGTATTTTCTATCTTTTTGTATTTTTAATCATTCTTTTCGTAAAGACAAGTAAAAAAATGTTTTAAAAAGCTTTCCAACTGCAGTTTGTCTTTTTTCACACAAGACCAATAAATACATGAGCAACATGTGTAGTAAATGTAATAAGATTTATTAAGAATCTTTATTATTTCATCAGCATAATTCTTCATTAATATGTTTTATTCATCATCATCATTGTTATCTTAAACAGTGGACAGTTAGATCTAAAAGGCAGCCCAAAGTGTACAGGCGATATATAACTTAAAACTTTCTCCATAGGGAAAACATGTTTTTATATTCATATATAATATCAATGTAGCATGAGGTCCAAGATCCTGCCCACGTTATACAGTATTGTACATGGTCCCAAAAATAAACAGAAAAACAAAAAACGTTTAAACAAAAGAAACCAAAGGGCAATCTACATGCAAAACAAAAAGAAACTAGCATTTAAAATGTTAAGATGCATACACTCATATGCCAAAACGTGCATACCATCACAAGTTCACAAATCTCTCGTACGTAAATACAAATATTACAAAAAAGTCAAATCGAATATTAGACACGTTATCAAGAAAAGAGCAACAACTTTTTTTGATTTTTTACTTTTTCCACTCCACATCTCAGTCCAACTCACAAAATGGAAAACTTAAAAACATAAAAAAACCCCAGTCATGACAGTAAATCTTTGTCTCTTCCATTCGCTCGACGTGTTCGTGTTTTGCCGGAGTTGTCACAGTGTTCAGGAAAACTGAGTATAGGCACACACGATAGCATTCAAACAGGCTCATACCATAAATCGCCTCTGTGTAAAAAAATATCTTGCTTGCCACACACACACACACACACACACACACACACACACACACACACACAC